GGGCACATGTAAATAAATGTTATGTTTCTACTGTAAGAAAATACATGTACCCCTGAGCCAACCTTTTCAGCACAAAAGTAATTTAATATTCTTACTATATGAAAAGTGATCACTATGGGAGTTATGCAGCTGTCAAATCTCAAGTCAGAATTTATTAAAAAGGATCTATTTATATAAAACAGAATTCTTTTAAAAGGACCACAATAATAAGAAAAAAATCCTAACACTTCTCTCTGCCCCTCCTACCCAATTTCTTCACCATACTTGAAACAGGAAAAAGATCACATCAATATATCATGTTCACACCATGGACAGTGGCATAGAAATGAAAATCAGGAATACTTAGCACTTTTTTAGCAATGTGTGTGCACAGTACTCTTATACACTATATTAGTAATCAGCATACCTGAAAATTAGGGCACAAGGAGTATGAGACTCTGGAGAGGGGAGTACTTAAATCTGAGAAAATAATAGCTTAACAAATACCAGAGTCTTGCTGTATCAGGCCAAAGGCCTCTCTATTTCAGGATGCTGGTTTCCCCACTGGCCAACTGAATGACTGCAGGAAGCCTAAAAGCAGGGTAAGACCCCAAAGCAGTCTGCAACTGTTGTTCTTCAGAAAGTGATACCCAAAGACATGCTGCCTCCTGGAGACCATGTGGATCATAACTAAAGGCCACTGCTAACGCTCTTCTCTCTTAATTTCTCTACCTACCCCTTACCACCAATAACAAAAAGGCAACTGTATTTCTAACCCTGCAAGCTAGGACAGTTGGTCATACCCCACATCCTCATATAATTGGGTAAACTATCATCATCCATGACTATTAAGAATTCTTCCGAATATCCACAGATATTCAGGCATTTACCCCTTTGTAAAAATTTCTTCTATGTCCCTTAAAGCAGGAGTGCTCTGTACCTAAATCTTGGATGTAGCAATGCATAGGTTACATCCCTGAGTGGACCCCAAACTATACTCATAATGTACCAGGATGGAAAGTAATCATATTAAAAGTATTTAATTAAATTATAATTACATTTAAATGTAGATTAAGACAAATCTGGGTCTTTTTTTCTCAGACCTACCTAATTCTCAGTTCTAATCCTGCCTGCTCTTTGATCTGATGAACAAGAATTTGGATTCATCTTAGGCATTCTAGGAACTGTATTAATATCACATTGTTGTCTGCATTGTGGGGCTCCATTGTGAGGAATAGGATGTGCACATATTAAGAAACACTCTCAAAATGTTTTGCTGTTCCATCACAAACCTATTTCACAGGACACCAACTATTTCCTGGAACTTCAAGACAGGCAAAACAATAATGAGATTTATGTGGCCACTGAAAATACCACCTAGTCTCAAAGGGGGGGGAAAAGGTGAACAAGAATGATGTACCCCACAAATTGCTAACATTCATAAGGATGTGATTAGAAATAATAAAATGACTGAAATTAGAAGCTTGAGGGCAAAACTTAGAAAAGCAGTGCAAAAGCTAAGCCTGCTGAAGGTAATCCCAAATGTATTATGGGACAAGGAGAAAGGCTAATAGACAGGAAACATGAAATGTGAAGCTGTGGTTGGAATCAATGTTAGTAGATAGCAGCTACTGTTGCAATATGGTAAATATAGATTAGAAGAGGCGTTAGAAATGTTCAGGTAATCTTAAATATGTCAAATATTGCTGATCATTAAAAAATATTGTATAAGAAATAGCAGAAACAGCAGTTGGAGATCATCATCTAAGGGAAAGATCAAACCATGACCACAATAAGTTAGGTTTGTGCTAAAAGAACAATAAAAGACCACTGAACAACAAGGTGGTTACACAAGTTTTGAGAGAGATCTCCTTGTGTCCTTTTTTCTGCGTAGAATAAAGTTTTACTTCAATCTCCACTTCGGTGTCTTTCTTTAGGCATTTAGCACATCAGGACCAGGACCAGACTTGGGCTGGAACAAGAGATCTACAACACATTTCACCAGAGGAATTTCTAGTACGTGGGTGGAGATTTTCCATGGAAGAAATTCAAACTAACCAATTCACTTGGATGGCTTGATTGGATGTATTTCATGTGATTTCTTCAAGATCTATTAAATTGTGTAAAACTCATAAGGAAAATCAGTCTGCAATATGTACTCATGTAAATTTTGTTCTGGCTCTGTAAGAATGGAAACTCCTAGCCCACTTTAAGCCCCTCTAAGTTGCGGTCTGTGACTTATCTTAAGGATAATTAATTTTCAGAATAGCCTGTGTTCATAGATGTGGTAAGATTATATTAAACTATTTGGTTCACAGCTTACATCCTTCCCTAATATGATACAAAGGATTTTAATAAAATGTCAAGGTTTTCTCTTTTGACTCCCCACACACTAAGCACTCAAGATCAAAATCAAGTAGGGAATGTGATTGCTCAATTTTGTTTTGTTGTTGTTGTTGTTTTCAAAGCCTAACCAAAGCACAATTTCAAATGTGACAAATGCAGTAAACTTTTGAAGTGCTAAAATGAAGTACAGAAGGCTCTTCCTGCGCTAAAAAATGCACCTGTTGTAACAATGAAATTGTCTGATATATCATGATAGCACAGGAGTATATAGAGTCTATCTCTGCTCTCAAGCCCAGCCAGTTAAGACACCTTCCACCATCTCTAATTAGTATATGAAGTGCTATGTGTGATTTTTTTAAACAGTAATTGAAACTGACACGACAGAAGAGCACTTAGGTATGAGCCAAATTATGAGTCAGACCTATGCAGTATTTACAGGGAAACATCCAAGCTGGATGATTGCTTAAACATGGACCTCAGAAAAATGCTGAAGAACTGAGAATCCAGCATAGATTCTGAACATGTTATATATACATGTCTCTGTGTGTGTGCACAACTCAAGGCCACCAAATCTATATCTGCCAAGAATTATTATCAGTAAATGACTGCTAAAACAACAATAAATTTCAAGTTATTCATGCAAGATTTCAATTAGAACACTGAGACAGCTATGTACAGTATGTCTACCTTCTGAAATATACACTAAATAGAGAATGATTTGTACACATTTACATATTGAATTCCAGTCAGAGGATAAGCATACTGACTTTCTTTGGAATTTCAAATATATTGCCAAAGTCTGATATGCCAGGAAAAAAAGGGTAGAAGAAATGAATTGGTGGAGAATTAGTAAAGAAGAGGCACCAAAAAATTAGATCTATAAGAAGAGTGATGGCCAACCAGGTTGCCTGCTGTCCATCTTGTCAATTCACTGATATAACTCCTGTTCCTGTTGTATCAGCAAGACAGGGAAGTTAAACCCAACAAATGGAAAGGATTTGAGAGGACTCAACATAGGGAGCCAAGAAGACGTAAGGAAAAAACACAGCTGAAGCTAGATATGATATCACCTGTTTTATATTGATAAGAACTTATCAACACAAAGGGGTGCAAGAGAAGAAAAGTCAAATTGTTGAAAAATAAGGGCTCTCTGTTTATGGAGCTTATTTACTGATTGTTTGCCCACCACAACTGACAGACTCTAGTTTGAGCTGTCTTTTGTCTTTCTAGAGCTCCATTTATACACTGAGGTAAGTAAGTAAAAATGAGGATTGACACCTCAATGGAACTCCATTTATTTACCATACTAGAGAGGTGAGTGAAATTCTGTCACACATTATTATTCAAATCAATAACCACCATTGATACTACAGATTGTACAGATTATTCTTGAACATTTAAGAATTTTTTAGCTATACAGCAAAGTCTTTGCTATTTCTATACTAAGAAATAATCTACAAAGCAGCACTGAATCTATTTAAATGTGAACTAAAGAAAGTGAAGGTAGGTTGTGGCAGGAGTAGAGGGAGGAAGCTTACTTCAAAGGACCTCAGGACAAAACGTGTATGTGATAATGGTTGGAAAAGTACATGAAGGTAAAAATGGGTATCCAAACGGGGCACTAAGACTATGTGCTGACTAACTCAGTGAGAAGAGGAGGATTTGGATTTCACTTTAGGCAGCAAAATTGAACTGATCAGCATTGAACTGATTTTCATTTTGAACTGACGGTTGGATAAATCCATAGTGAAAAATGGGTAACAATTCACATGCCTGTCAACATTTTTGCTTCAGTCAGAACAGAAACTGAGGGGGTCGGTGAGAGGGAGCCCACCAGACCACTTTTTCTTTCATCAGCAAGTAAGAAGGGAAAATGCTTGGGGATGGATTCTTCCGACTTGCGTCTACCTTTACCAGAGTGACACTGAAGAACTTCTGGCCCAGTTGGATATCCCCTAATATGGAAGTGCAGTAGCTTATCAACAAAATGGCAACTGTCTTTCACTACCAGCAATACCAGGCAACTGAAGGAGGGGGGAAAAGGAACATATTCTATCAAGTGAGACTTGAAGTTAGAGGAGGCACAATCAGTACATATACGGCATCTGAGTTTGGAATGCAGTGTCATAACACTTTGCACAACCCCTTACTAGGAGATTATGTGAAAAATACATCAAATATTTCTCTGAACACATTAGATCACTTGTGAGTAACAGCAGCAGGAATTATTTTATTCCGCATAAAACTCTGAAGTAATGAAAGATAGTATCTTTCTGAACACCTTGTACTAATGAAATCATTTTGCATTTCTTAGTTTGCCCACATATTGCATTGGAATTTTTAATATTTGAAGCCAAAAAATTATCTAAAATTATATTTGCTAAAAGCAATAGCTGGGTATTCATGTCTGAGGAACTGAAAGGACTCACATCTCACATCTCAAAATCACCATCTCTAAAGACTGCATAAAAGATTGCACACAAAAACAATTTCTAGGGAAAAAACATATAGGAAAGAATAAAAATCATTTTTTGTTGTACAGCATTTTTCTATCTATCTATCTATCTATCTATCTATCTATCTATCTATCTATCTATCTATCTATCTATCTATCTATCTACATATACATACACACACATAAACACACACACCCATGCACACAGATACCAACTTACCTTGGGCGAACAGGCAGTACACTTGTCAAAAGCCAGACTGACAGGAAGAACATTATCAAATCTTGATAAAAAACCTCGGATCTGTCAAGCAAAGAGATGTATAGCAACATTTTGAAATCAGCAATATTGCCCTAGCTATATTTTTTCAAGGTCCATGTTATTAAGAAAGTACAGTCAACATGTACAGTCCTGGTGTTGAAAGGCCTTTTCTACAGAAACTGACAGCATACTGTGTGTTCTAGTTGTGCAGGTCAGATGACTGCCATGTAGTGTGATTTCTCTGTAGACAGACACACAGCACCACCTGGAGTATAAACCTCTTGCAGAAAAAGGGACTGAAAGAACAGTAAGGGAAAATGCTATTACTATATGTACATGGTTAATTTTCAGAAAAAAAGGAAGTGTATTTTCCTGCTGTTCGATGCTAGTCAATTCTGAATATTACAGAAATATCTGTTTGCATAAAAAAGTTGCAGGTCATCAACTTGAATATGCTAATTTAATATGGTAATATAATTTTGTTGCCTAATAAAGGATTCAAATTTTTTATTCTAGCTCTGAAAGGGTAAAATAGCAATATCAATCAAGCAAATAAATCTTTTTTGCTTGGCAGGCACATCTGGGGAGGGGGATGAGGTTCAAAATGGTGGCCATAACTGTGTGACCAAAGCCCTGCTCCTTTTTACATGTATGATGCTTGCAAAAAGGAGTCAAGGGTTTGATCACATGGTTGTGACTACCATCTCAACTTTTATGCCCCTTTTGCTTGGCCTCTGTATGTCTTTAAAGTTAGTTCTTTTTTCCCTGATATTTTATGAAAACTCATTAGTTCAGTACAGCAGTTCTATTGTATTTCTCTGAGCAATCAACTGCAATTTGAACATATGTTAATTCTTATGAATCTATTCTAAGTGTAAAGGAATAAACCACCAAATTGTTAATTCTCTTGTGACCCTAGCAGATTCTTACAATAATTATGTTTATCTTCTCAAATATCACTCAGAAGGCACTAGCCTATGTATATTACCACTGCTAAAATAACTTTCCTTTTTCAAAATCGGAGACTGCTGTTTTGTGCAAATCAGGAAGTTACAGTAGTCACAAACCAAAGAGTATATTTGTATCAGTGGTAACTGACTAAACATAACAGCATTAAAAAGTATCAATTGTCAACCTGGAAGATTTGGGGAATGTAATTTAATAATTCAATGATTGTATAAGTAAATTTAGACATCTTCCCATTTAGCTCCCTGGGATTCAGCTATTGCTTCTGCCATGACAATCTGCTAGTGCAGGGTTCCTCAACCTTAGCAACTTTAAGATGGGGAATTCTGGGAGTTGAGGTCCACCCATCTTAAAGTTGCTGAGGATGAGGAACCCTGTGCTAGTGCATGAAAAACTCTCTCACTTTTTTTTCTTTTTGGAAGAATAATGTAGTGAAAACAAGCATTTCTGAAATAGCATGCCTTCTCTGTTGCAATGCCTTTATTTGGAGCAATCTCTCCCCTGAAATTTGGTTGCTCTAACCCCGTTAGCCTTTAGGAAGGCTTTAAAACCTTGGCTTTTTCCCCAGGCATTGTGCCAGGGTGACAGATGAGCCTTTCTTGGGAAACAGAGTACAGTTTTGATCAACCTGACCGCAGGCTATTGCTATGCTGATTTCAGCTCTGTTCCTGTTGGTTTTCATTACAATTTGGGTCTTCTTTTGGCTCTAGGGATGTGCACTGCTCAGAGTTGCAATTATGTGAGTTAAGCAGGCATGTAAATCTTCCAAATAAATAAATAACCAAACACTGAGCATCAAAGAAAGGACAGGACTGTAAAACATCAAAGGTAAGAAAAAAGTAGCACATTAACCCTATTCAGACATTATCCCCGCTACTAAATTTACTGGTAAATTCTCAGCAAGAACAAGGACACAGAAACTGGGTTTGTACACTTTACTAAACCATAGTTAACTGAACTGTGGTTTGTGGAAACAAAATTGTGGCTTGTGGAACTAACCTATTTATCTGGATGAGCACAATGCACTTAACCAATAACTAAATCCAGTGGTCAGGTACATAGAGCAAGCTGAGTTACACAGCTCAGTCAAACACATTTTAGCCTAGGATACCATGTAAGCCAGAATTGGTACTTAGGGATGGATACAGCCCTCTCACAATAATCAAACAGTGGTACTATCACAAACATGCTTACTCAAAAATAACCTGAACTAAGTTATAAATGGCTTACTTCCTGTTAAGCAGATCAAGGATTGTAATTTTCTAATAATAAACATACCATCAATTTATTTAGAATCTCAGGTTGCTTAAGTAAGGAATGCTGTCCTTTTCCTGCTTTCCTTAGTGGGACAGCATGGCAGCCACTGTGTGACAGAGAAGGTCATGCTGTGACAATCAAAGAATGTGAAAAAAAGCTGTGCCAAAAACAACTATCAGAAATTAAAATGTTAGGAAATGTTACATCAAGAGAAAGCCAAGGGGCAGGGGGCTGTTTTTTAAACTATGGTGCTATGCATTTGTATTTAAATTGGAAACTTGCTGAGTATTCAGATAGTAAGATTCTGGTGCACAGCACGAGACATTTAAACAATAAGGGTAAAATATAGTTACGAATGAAGGAGAGAGAGAAAGATGGAGTTAATTAGATTATGGTGCACCATCTCTATTTCTCTTAATTCATACAAGCAAGAAAAACAAAAAGTCTGGACCAAAGTCCTCTACCCCCACCCCATTAATTCTAAACGGATATGTTATCTACAAAGAGAACTTGGATAGCATTACATCTTCTTAGCTAGCAGGAAACCAGTTGTTGACACAAATGTGTAGGGGGGGGAAAGTGACCATACAGGATGAGATTTTGTAACATAATTGAACATTATTTTGCAAGTGACTTTTGCAACAAAAACTGACATGACTTTTACCGCTCAGAATTTTTTACAAGAGGAAGAGCATCTCACTCTATTTCTTCGTGCAACAGAGCAAAAACATCATTTTTAAAACATTAGTAAACAACAACTGTAAAACCAATTAAAATGCCTACAAAGTCCTGGAGTAATCAAATCATGCTTCCAAACATCAAGAAGAGAAGGATGTGAATAAGCAATGTGCTTGATGATGCAGGAGGCAGAATTAACTACTAAATAGCAAGTATAATCATATAATATCCATCCATCAGTAGAATGGCCTTTGACTGTACATTTTTGTGCACGTGGAAAAACAAATCAGGATCTTAACATTAAGTTTCCTGTTAGTGGAAAGTATAATTAAATGTTGTAAACAAGCCAGGATCAGAAGCCAGCTTTAACTAAGCTTTGAATCTGGCTTAGTTTTTAAAATACATTCCAAAGCAGCAGGAAAAGGGCTCCTTATTTAGCCTGGACTTAGTACTATATCAGGAACTGGTCTCTGAGACAAAGTTAAAGGAAACAAATATCTTCAAGTGCCTATTCATTATATGTGACTTTATTACAAACATTACCTCTATTTAATGGCCACCTTTTTGGATGATACCTCTATACATTCTTAAATTTAAATCCATTTCCCCTCTCAATTTATGTCATTCTGAACTCATAACCTGAAGCCATGGATCACAAAGTCTATAGTTTTTTTAATCATTACTCTATTCTTTTACTACAAGAGGACTGCCCATTGCAAGGGTATATATGTCACTATATTTCAGGGATACCTTCACAGTTGTATTACTTTCCACTTTACTAACCTGATGAGGCACAAGCCCAAGAGAGGTGGGAGGTTCATTCATTCTGTCATCACTACTGCTTGCAACTGCATAGCCACTAACAAAAAGGAGGATAAATAAAGAGAAGTAACTTTCTACACAAAAGGTTTTGGCATTCATCATGTTTTGCCTGAGTAAAATTTGGAGTAAGCCTTTCTGCATACAGACATATCTTAAGAAGCAGAAGTTGCTCAACATTTGACATAAAAATTAAAGGATGTCAGTGCATTGGATTCAAGCTTAGTAACACCAAGAGAAGATCTACTGAAATCAAAGATGGGATACAGTAATTAAAGTCATGACTAAGTGAAATTAAATCAGAATCCAACCTTCTTAACTTACTTCTTAAGTATAAGAATCATTATACTTAAAGTTTGCAGTTAATCTTTGGGTTGGAGGTCAACATTATTTGATTGATCTTGTGTTCAAAAGGGCGATGATGCCAAGAAAGAACTGGTGACATAAAAATGTCTCTCTAAAATATTACCTCTTTTCCACAATGATGGCTTACCCTTCTGGATGCTGCAAAATGGATACCATTAATTCAACAGCAAGTGCTCCTGCTACCATGGCTAATCCTGGTCGACTGACCGTACACTGTTGATCTAATGTCCGATCCCTGGTAGACTGCAAAGGAACAGTGAAATTTTATTTCTATACCGTTTCTTAAAATAAAATACAGAACAACAATTTATGGTTCCCTTTCCAATCGTGCCCCCCCCCCCCAAAAATACTGGCATCTCTTTGCCTTTCAGGAAAAAAAAAATACTGATTCCAAAGAGCACTTCACAGTAGAACTGGGAAAAGGGGTCCTCCATTTTCTAGAGAAGATTTTAGGAGCAGACAATACTCTACAGAAGAGTAGCAACTGCTAAAAATGCTTCCATTACATTTCAGTTCTTTAGGGATATGCAGCTGTCTAGAAGACTTTCCTTATGCCATTAAGGAGGCATTAAGGAGGTAATGGTGGAGTGACTCTTTTCAGATCACCTCTGAAGCACATCACTAGAAGTCTTTCTGTAGTGAAAAGAACTTAACTACTGTAGATTTTTCTTACTATAATACTAATACAGAGAAGTAGAAAAAAAAAATTCAAAGAACAGTCCTATCAGTTTGTTTGAAACCTACTTACATCTCCTGGTGCAACTACATCATTGCAGAAATAGCAACCAAGTTTATAGCCAGGAATATTTGAAAAAAGTGATGATCCCAAAAGATCAACTGAGCCAGAAGAATTATTGCATGGAGATTCACCAATTTCATGATTCTTTGGTTTCTTTAGTCCATGTCTCATCACAACAAATGTGTCAAATCCCAAAGCAGCGTTGATGACCAACTATACAAATATTGAAAAGCAAAGAAAGTGATATTCATATGTAAGCATATAAGCAAAACATTAAAAATAAAAATGACCAGCCAAGATTGCCAAGTAAAGCTTCTCTCTCAAAGCAGATAGTCTCTTCCCTTTCCTCTATCACGTGTCCACTAAATCTACTTTGGAGGATTCCCTGATCTGTTACAAGAGTTTTGGAGAGGAGGGATAATAGTGGGGAGAGGGCAAGTATCAATAGACAGAGAAAATTAGACACAGTACTGTTTTAGTATATATATGTATTTAAAATATTTTCATCCTCCTTTTCTACCTAAAAACACCCACCACCAAGCCAAAGACATGCCAATAGTTGATAAATACAGCTCACGAAGACCCAGATCCAGGTAAATCACATGTGTAAAAATTTCATGCATGGGAATTTCTTTATCTTAATCTGCTATTACATTAGAATGAGAAAAAGTAGTGGAAGCTACAAAGAGAGAGAGACAAATATGAAATAGGAAGGAAATTCCTGACCATGAGAACTATTAAGCAATGGAACTGCCTGCTTTCTGGAGTCACAAATCCTTCATTACTAGAGGTTTCCAAACAAAGGTTGGGCAGCCATTTGTCTGGGGTAGCTTGAGGATTCCTCCCCTGGGCAGGGGTTGGATTACAAAACTTCAGGTCAAGACCTTCCTACTTTATGGTTCTATGATTCTGTGGATTTTAAAGTTCGGATGGGAGGAACTGCTGAAAAGGCAGATAACTAATAACCTAAAATAGCAGGCCGTTGCTATGCACTTCAGTGTTAAAATTATAGAGTGATTCCATATTCAAGCTGAATGGGATTCATATCCTTTGCAAATATTTATTAGGGCAATGATAAAAAGCATCAAATTAAAACATTATTAAAAGAAATATTTTTCAAAATATTAGAAAAATATTAGAGTCTTTCTACAAAAGCCATCCAAAAATATCATTTTCAGTCATTCTTTCTAAACTACCAATATACGTAGAATTAAACAGATAGAATTCAGGTTTTCAACCTCGTCCCTCAATTACTTGTCTTAAGTTCATCAACCCAATCTTCAGTCTAAAATTCCAAGTCTGATGCAATGAAGAACACTGCATGTCCGTAAAAGATCTGACATTCAAAAACTCTGTACACTTAGTGAAAATGCTTTTGAAAAGTCACTGCAAGGCCACTAACAAAAAGGAGGATAAATAAAGAGAAG